TCTCCTGTTTCAAAGTTAAAAATTCAGTAGATTTCCCTGCAGATCCAGTGAAGTTAGACATTGAAAGCAGCACTGTAGACTTCATTTTTAAATGTGTGTTTTTAAGACGCTATTCCTGACTAATATGTTAAAGTTTGTGTGTAATTACCAAAACCTTTTTAACTAACGACCTGAGACAAAAGATGTCTTTATCTAATTATATATTTCTATTTTACACTCCAGGATCTCCCGAAGCCGATCCGAGCCAACTTCATCCTCAACGTGGAGACTGATGAACTTTTCATTACGGCTGGCCTGCAGGACAGAGTTGTTCAGGTCAGTAACAAGTCAGCGTTACACAAATGTACTTGACAGCATGTCAGTTATCTTTCAGTTAAAGCTGCAGTAGGTAACTTTTATAAAAATAACTTTTTGTCATATTTGCTGAAACTACTTCAGAGGTGAGTAAAATATAAAGACGCTTTGGGTTGGTGGCTTAATAATAGTTGATTGTTGAGTCTCATTCCCAGAGTCCCAAAGTGTCTGTATTTGACACCCTGGGAATGAGACTCAACAATCAACTATCTCTCGACACTGATTGGTTGTTTTCGTTCAGGCCCGGTGGATTCTGGCAAATACCATTAGGAGCACAAGGAGGAGCCAGAAGAACCTGATTGTTTCACATTCACGTTTCACGTTCTACTGTCAGGATATAGTGAAAGTTTCAACAAGTATGACAGAAAAATATTTTTATAAAAATGACCTACTGCAGCTTTAATACCAGCAGTAGCATGAATTGTTTGCCCTTTTGTCTTTGCAGGTCTATGAAGGATTAGTCTACATGGATTTTAGCAAGAAGCTCATGGAGGATCAGGGCTATGGTATTGAAGTCACCGTCTGTCTGTAGATGCTAAGTAGATGATACAAATACAAATGTCATTCCTAATGTGTGTGTGTGTTTGTGTGTGTGTGTTTGTGTGTTTCCCATTATTAGGGAACTATGTTTCTATGAACATGAGTGGGCTCCCACCGTTCTGGCTGGCTTACCTGAGCGACCCCAGTGACTCTGGACGCATCCACAGCAACATCAGACAGCGCTGGCTCAGCGGTACGTCTTCACATCAACTATTACATCAGCCTCCTGTTGATTCACAAGGTCAAAGGTCACTGCCAAAATGTCTGCAAAAACAAAGGGATCTACTGTTTGATCAATATTTTAAGTTAGCTAATGTTAGCAAAACACTAGATAACTAGCCAGCTAACGATTGAGCTACATTGGCTAGCTAGTTATCTAGCATTACCCAACATTAGCTAGCTAACTTAGTATCTGACTATGTATTTGTCGCTTTTATCTTTTAACCATCTTCAAAATGTGGTTGTCTTTTCAACATGGACGAGCATGGCACATAGCATATCTAAGAACAGGAAATGAGGAAGTTGACGTAGGTTCTGACTGATCAATTATTGGATGAATTAGATATCCACCATCATAGGATGAATCCTAATCAGTGATCCCCTGACATTTACTAGAGCTCCACCTGCAGGTCACAGTTCCATCAGGTCATAGACGTTCATGGTTCTCAGAGGATAAATCTTGATTGACTTTGGTGATCTTGCTCCATTTGCTGTTGCACCACTACGAGGTTCACGTTTGTGGTTTTTAATGAAATGTCTCAACAACTATTGGCTGGATTGTTATGGCATACTTTACCTTACGTCACCAGGATAACCCTCCCAGCTTTCCAGGGCGTACATTTAGAACTGACATGCATGTTCCCCTCTGAGTCGTACCAACTTTGTTTTTTCCTTTAGTCTCAGATTTAATAGGCAATACTTTGGTTAATAACCAAATACCCTCAAAACTAATGACGTTCCCATTAGCCCAATGCTAAGACAGCGAACATGGTAAAGTGGTATCTACTAAACATCATTGTCTTTGTGAGCATGTTAGCATGCCTACATTAGCAGTTATCACAAAGCCACTAGCATGGCTGTCGACTCTTGTTGTTCTGTATTTAATCTCATTTTATAGCCACAAAGTATTCCTTACTGGGCAGAAAAGCTGCTGATATAAAGAGCAACACATTTCAGTTTTCTATAAACATACAAAAAAGTTGTTTTAAAATAACATGCTAGCCCATGTGCATATTTACATCTTTCTGTTCCTGTTAGGAGAAACTGGAAACACATTGGTTCGTTTGATGAACTACTTTCATGTTGCTCTCTCTCCACAGGGGAGCCTCTGGTAGTCGAGGCCATGAAGACTTTTGCTGAGCTCACTGATCAAGCCAGGTCGGTTTGAGTACTTCAAGTGGATTGTTGATCAAGAATTTCTGTAATTCATAGCAAGGGGATTTAGTCAAATAAATCGGCTAGACATAAATAACCATTAGATTAATTACATTTAGCCTTTGCACAACAGTCTCAAAGTGGCTTTGGGCTTTCTGAAATGTGTAAAATGTTTATGCACTGTGAGTTCCAAGAAACACCACATTTAAAGTGTTGCTGCAACTTCGCTGACAAAACCTAGTTTTTGTGTTTGTGGTGGGATTTCAGAAATTCAGAACATTTGAGCTGAAAATTACTTTAGCACTGACTGGAAATGTTCTCCCCTCAGGACGGCTCTGCAGAACAGAGACTGGGGCACTCTGGCACAGCTGATGGACCAGAACTTTGAGCTGAGGAGGTAAACAGTATATTGTGATGTGGAGCATCATTCATGTTACAGATACACTCACAGCTAAAATAACAACACACCCCACAGGACTGTCTACACTGATGACTGTCTGGGCCCAGGGAATCTCAAGATGGTTCAGCTGGCGAAGCAGGTAGGCCCTCAGAGGCTCCTCTACCTGCTTAGAGCAGTGCATGTTTTATTGAACATCTGTGTGTGTGTGTGTGTGTGTGTGTGCCTGCAGGAGTGTTTTTATGTTTGTGTTCATAAAGTTTTTGCTGCTTCTTGCAGTTTGGCTCATCGGTGAAGTTACCAGGCAGTGGGGGGGCAGTGGTGGGTCTGTGTCTGGATAATGCAAGACTGGTAAGAACGATATAAAGACGCTTTGGGTTGGTGGCTTGAAGATAGTTGATTGTTGAGTCTCATTCCCAGTGTCTGTATTTGACACCCTGGGAATGAGACTCAACAATCAAGTCTTTCTTGGGTCTGATTGGTTGTTTTCGTTCAGGCCCGGTGGATTCTTACAAATACCATTAGGAGCACTAGGAGGAGCCTTGTTTCACAGATTATCTGTCTTGTGTACTACTGTCAGGATGTAGTGAAAGTTTCAGCAAATATGACTACATTTTCATAAACCATTTTCAGTTTCTCTCCTAAATCCAAGCAGAGAGCTGTTTCAGAGATACACTAACACCTCATACTTTGGTTATGGCAAATCTTCTACGGATTACTCTTGAAACACACAAAATCAGTTCTCTTTTCAACTAAACGATCAGGAAACAAAACTGCTGTAAAGTTTAATTTTCTTGTCATGATTTAGCTGTAGAACAACCACATAGTTGGAATATTTCCACCTAGAGTAAGTTATCTGCTCTATGATCACACAGCCTTGCACTCACACTGGCATTTAGATGACAAAACTTGTGTTCTGTTCTGCATCCATAAACCAAATATGTTTTGCCAAATTTAAAACAGACAGATGATGAATCTGGAAAAAAAGTTTAACCAGTTAAATAAAAATATCTGTGAAAATGAAGCCAATGTGCTATGCCTCATGGCTGGGACCAAATTGAGTCCATGATAAATGAAAAAGATCTGTAGATTAAACTCAACTGAAACTCAGCTTTATGCAGAGATATTAGCCCAATGCAAGATGTCAACACCTGATTCATTTCAAATCACTGAATTTCATTACACAACCCTGTGTTGTAAATGACAATTAAACAACCTTGAATCCTTGAATTTGAAAGGACCACAACCTTCTTAACTAATTTATGTCTTGCTTGGTTAGAGTCTGACCTAATATCCTGGCTCGGGCCGCCCTATAGTTCACCTTGTGTAAACTATGTGCCAGGGCTGAGTCCTTGCTGCAGCAGCCATGGGTTCGACCCTGACATACCCTTTGCTGCATGTCATCCCCTTCCTGTCTATCTTAAGCTGTCCTGTCTAAAAAAGGTAAAAAGCCCCCAAAATATAAAAAAAAAGGAAAAAAAAAGATCCTGGCAGTAATGAACCCGCTCTGAGTTGTAAATTGTGAATCTGACCTGAAGGCCCTGTGTGATACTGTCTGATGCAGTGTGTGTTTGGCCCACTAGATGGAGATGAGGCAAGCTTTCCAGGAGGCAGGCTGTGTCTTCTGTGTCATCGCACCATACAACCCATCTGCCAGCACTGTCGGCGGCCAACACTAACCTCACATCTCCCCACGACTCAGTCAGGCTACTCGAGGCCAACTCACAGCCATCGGTTGGATATGGCACAGCGTGGCATTCAATGAGTCCCAATGTCATTTCATAGGATTTGTTACTACAGTGGAAAGATCATTTACATGAAATTATGTGTAAGCCATAAATAAAAAAAGAATTAGGGTGGGGTAATTTACTAGATTGGCCAAATAATGTTTAGTGAAACATCAGGTATTGCTTCACTTTGTGGGAATCTGCACATTTCACACTTTTGATGCAGATGTTCAAATTCAGTTAGTACCATTGTGTAAAATGTATCATCTATAACAATGTAAAAATTATGTAATTATTTTTCTACATCAATTGTAAAGACTCAATCTCATATATTTGTATAATGTATGTAATTTATACACAAATTAAAAGCATTTTTTATGTTCTTAGTGTTTTGTCATGTATGCTGTGTAGCTTGTAACCCATATTACACACACTTACTACAGTTGAGGGTAAACAAACCAAGTCAAACTAGTTGAAATAACATGAAAATCACATTGTTTAAACCTTTTTCCCCTCACTGCCCCACAGACTGTGCTCTGTACACTGCCGCTGTACTGTACACTCAGTGAGCACATCTAATTTGCTGTTTCCTCCAGTGGGCGGAGTAGCGGGGCTCTGCCTGCCCGGCCGCTCAGCTCAGCCCTCAGCTCCTCTCCTCTCTGTAGTCGCTGTTACCTCTCCACTCATGCGGATCCAGCCGTAGCTCATGGACTAGCCGGAGAGGTCTGGTGGCGGACTGTATCGGGCTTGTAGCGAACAGGGTGAACCAGTGGACCATGGCTGCCAAAGAGGACCTCTACAGTAAAATCCTCCCTCGGAGGCTCCGACAGAACCGGCCGGGCTCAGTGAAATGTGCCTCCAACTTGGACGTGCTGTTATCCATGGGCTTCCCCAGACCAAGGGCGTAAGTAGCCTGACCTAAACACCCGTGTGTGTGTGTGTGTGTGAGAGAGAGAGAGAGAAGGAGAGTGTGTGTAGGCTGGAGCGTTACATTTATGTCAGAGGTCGGCGGGGACCTGGCGGGGACCTGGCGGGGACACGGCCGGTGTGTGAGCAGTGAGTAGCGGTAAGGTTTGTTATGGGAGTGAACGCAGCATCACTGGCCGTTTCCCAGCATCGGGTTTCGCTGTGCGCAGCTAGCTGGTGTTCCCTGTATACCCACATGCACTACTGAAGAGTAGAATAGAGTCGAATAAAGTGTGATATAGCTAAATTTAATTCATTAAAACAGCAGAATAGAGTCGGAACAAATGTCAATAAGCGAAGAGCTGAGTGGAGGGAAACACAATGAGCAAGAAAGCAACATAAAAGTTAACAGAAGTGACCGCTAGCATCAAATAAAACAGACACCACATCAGTCATAGCTCCGTTTAAAGACCTGGAGACAGAGCCGAGGGGGTGTCGGTGCTTAAACTGATATTTATGGACGCATGGCTTGTGCTTTTGTTCTTTGGATTCTATGTAATGTTATTTTGTGTGTTTTATAAATGTTGTGTCTGTTTTTAAGCACTTGTCTTTATTTTGTTCCGCTGCCGCTGTTGTGTGCAACTCTGTTCCCCGGTCGATGTGTGTATCTTGGCCAGGACTCCCTCGAAGAAGAGATATTTAATCTCAATGGGACCTATCCT